AAAGCTGTGGTATTACGGTGTTAATAATAATATTTAAAAAATCGATATCACGCTGTAGTCGACAATAATTCCAAGTTTGACTTCAATTTAATTAAACATGGTATTCCCAAGGCTCTGTTCTTGGCCCTTTGTTATTTATCATTTATATTATTGACTTACCTAGTTTTATACGACCCCTTATAATTCTGTATTGTTTGCAGATGATACGTCTTACATCTACTCTTTTAAAAATGTTTCAAATATTTATGACGACATAGATTATAAATCGCAATTGTGGTTTATGGCCAACAAACTTCAATTAAATGAGAACAAAACAATTACTTTTCTAAAAATATTCCTAGAGTGAGTTCAGATAGTGTTTAACTACTGTGGCGGCCCACCCCAGGTACCCCTATTTTGATCTTTATTTTACTCTCTGAAATGTTATTATTTACCTCACAAATTTATTTTACTTAAATTCTATACTTACTGTATTTGACCTTTTTCCTCAAGTAGTAGAAGTGGATCGTCTAGTTAATTAAATTGATAATTTATATACTCACGTTGTGGTAATGTTAATTAAGGTAAACCAGGATTCGATGCAAAGTTTGGTGCAAATTGATAAATAAAACCAGACAAATTTATATTTAAACTCTTTTATGTTTCATACTTTAAATGTGATGCAATAATTAGCAAAGTATATTACAATTGGTACTATTTACTGAGATCTCACTTGAGTCCCGTTCAAACGCAGACCACGTTCATTTGCTATCAAGATATATTTTATTTAGGTTGATGACCATCGGAGTCAATGAACAGCGTCAATTAGCCAGTTGGTTAACTACTGTGTTGATGTTAATATTCTTATTTAGGTTGATGACCAACGGAGTTAACGAACAGCGCCAATTCGCCAGTGAGTTAACTACTATGTTGATTTGATTCTATTCTAGATATACACAGGTTGTACACTCTCAAGTAAATATTCGACGAGTATAGAGGTGATGATCAACGGAAGTAATGAACAGTGCCAATTCGCCAGTTGGTTATCATACTATGTTGATTATTTCACATATACTTTGTTTCAAACCTAGTAGAATGGGTGGCTTGGCATATAGCTAGGTGTCCCCCTTTGAGCTAAATAACAGTGTATTCACCTGTTGGTTAACTTACTGTTAAATTTTACCATCTCTTTGTACAATTTATCCAAGATAGCAGATCCCAGTATGTTTCTAAAATATTAATTTTTATAATTTCTATTGAAATGACTTAATACAACCCTGTAACCCAGACAACACACCAAATCCCAGAGATATCCACTTAATATCTTTTGTGGATATCCAATATATACACAGGATATCAGAAATATTCCGTGGATCTAATATGGATATCCAAATGTCCGTCTATATCTAGAATATAGAAGATCCTAATGGATATTCAGCAAAATATCTAATGGGTATCTTCCAGAAAATACAAGAAATCACAGAATATATTTTGTGGATATTCAATATATCCAATATGGATATCCAACCAAATGTCCGTCTATATCCCAGGATATAGAAGATATTCGGATATTCAGCAAAATATTTTATGGGTATCTTTAGTAGAGGTTCATACCAATGATTATTGAATTACGTCGAAAGAAAATAGCAGAGATAAAAAATATTTTTAACACTCAAAATATTTTCAACACTCTGCCTTTGATTTTGCCCACTAAGGAGAAAGTCATCCTTATTAGGACTCTTCAGCAATAAATGAAAATTCTCGACTCCAGTCTCTAAAGGAATGGTTAGGACACAAATTGCGATCGAACTCAATTACGGCGGGTCGAGCATGAGTAGATGCGATAGTGGTATCGCCATCTATACTTAGTAAGCTTTGATATATTTAGTGGATGTTCATGGGATATTGAATACACCTTAAAAAAATTAATTTTAAATATCTGAACGGTACTATTAGCCACAATGGCGTAATTTTTTAATAATTTGCTATATAATTACTATTATTTATGGACATTTGCATGTCTATAAATTACATTTCATGGATATAAAATAGATATCTACCATGGACTGGACATTCAGTGGATATTGGAATGTTCAGTAGATATCCAAAGGATTTGCATGGTGTGCTGTCTGGGTAAGTATATTTTTAAATATTGATTATTATAATTTCTATTGAAATTATTTAATACAACCCTGTATATTTCTTAATATTATTATAATTTCTATAGAAATTATTTAATATAACCCTGTTTATTTCTTTAATATTGATTTTTATAATTTCCATTAAAATACTCAAAATTCACCCATCAAAACAGATGTCTATTATAACTGTCTTTCGGGGTGTACCTGAAGGCCATGTGGTTTATTGGTTACATTGATAATATTTTGCAGAAAATGTCAAGCTCTCGTTTAAACAAAACCCCGGTGGTATAACAAATAAAGTTACATAAATCTTTTGACTCACCATTAAAAATACAGATATTAAATTATGTACTAATTTCATCTAGCGTTGTGACGGCGTCTATTTAGCGTTGAGCGTCGCCTTGCGTCGAGGCGCCTAGCGTCGAGGCGCCTAGCGTCGTGATGGAGAGGAAAGTATTTAATACGATACTGCGCATTGGGACAAATATACGGTAGAAATATATAGGTGGTGCGGGACAAAGGGCGTCGACAAGGATATTATGAAGGAAATATTTAGGGGCGGCAAGGTCGAGAAGCAGAGCGATGGGACGTTGGGCGTCGAAATGAATGTATGGTAGGAAATACTTAGATGGTGCGGAATGTGACAGCGTTCAAGAAGTAGAAAGGTAGGGAAGTAGGGCGTCTGGACGTTAAGCGTCGGAATAAAGATAATGGTAGGAGATACTAAAGTGGTGTTAGAAGTGATAGCGTCCCTTATAGCACAGTATTGTTTCACGAACGTTCCAGAAACATGCACTTGGGACATCAGAAACGTCTCTGTCATGTTGCTTATTTTCCCTCAAACGTACCTGGGATGTTTCTGGCAATGACCATGTCATCATTTGTAACGTATTAGAGACGTTTCACAGAGTCGTTTGTGGAACATCCTGCGATGTTGCTCAAACGTCCTAGGCAAGTATTTATACCACTGCTGGAACGTTTTAGAAATGACCTAAACGTTTTTTTAGTAGGATAATAAAATCTATTACTTCTTTTCATAAATTTATTTAAATAAAAAAAAAATGACAAAAAAATAAAAAATTAAGCTTTGATTCATTGCGTCTATTTCTTTCCGGAGCCCTCTACAACCAGGAATCTATTTTAATTTCTATTTCTTTTTTGTTTACCAATTTACCGAATCTGAAAACTTTTTAATTAAATGACAATATAAACAATTGATATTAAGTTAAAATAATTACCCATAATGGCTTTAGCTATTTTTAACTTGGCGACTTCCTTTTTTCCAGTACATAAAAACAACTTACACAACTCGTACCTTGAGGGGAGCTATGCATCTTCTGATAAATTCACACAATATTGCTACCGTGGATTTCAAAATACAATACCTAAAATAGACTAGAATGTATAAAAGCCACATTTTCTTAATGGAAATTAAGTTACCTTCTTCATTTTGGCTTGAATAGCTTGCACGTATAACGATTGTTTCTACATTTGCAAAACCTGATCAAACTTCGAATTGGAAGTTAAGGTACCTTAATAATTTATTAATTCCATTTATTAAATATAATATTTATTAAATTCAAAATCCTTCATCTAACGAGAAATCTCACCTATAATTAAATCATATTTACGACACCTAATAAATAATATCTATAACCCTGCCCGTAAGATATCCACTTTCTTACAAGTGTCTGGGAATCCAACCTGAAACAACCATAAAACATATTTCTTGACGTGATCACGTGGATTATCTAAGAAATAAATTGACTAGCTCCCTTTCTATCCTTTGTGTCAGTTAAAGAATATTACAAGTTTTCAAATTCTAAAAACAACATATTTTGGACTGTTTCACTTCCACATCGGCTATGGAATTATTCTCTGGGGCAACTCTGTTGGTGCAGATAAGATCTTTAAGTTGCAGAAAAGAGCAATAAGGCTATTAGCTAATGTGGGTTTTCGTGAACCATGTCAACCGTTGTTTAAAAAACTACATATAATGCCTCTGCCAACATTATATCTATTTGCTGTTTTGACGGAAATTCACAGACAGAGTAACAGTTTAACAAGACAATCCGATTTGCACAATTATGATACTAGACAGGCAGACAATATTTGAACTAATCGATTTCGTTTAGTCAAGTCAAAGAAAAATTCGCTGGACTACAGCCTATACAATCTATTACCCCAAGATCTCAAAAAGCTTGGCACTAATCAGTTTAAAAAGCAATTAAAAGCATTTTTGTTGAGTTATTGCTTCTACTCTGTCAATTAATACGTGAAGCACTTACGGCTTCCATGAAGTATATTTTATTTGAAATGTTTTCTTCATTAAGAGTTATAAAACACGCAATTGTAAAACGGATATTTATTCAACAAAACCGTTTTGATAAAACTAAAAAATATCGCGACGAATTGATAACCTCCTCCTTTTTTGAAGTCGGTTAAAAATAATAAGTAAAACATCTTCTTACTTCTCTTAGGAACTGGTTGAGAGTGGAGTTATAGTAGAGTAAAAGCGGTAACAACTTGGCCAGAGTTAAATAGTTTTCAATAATACGACAACGCAATATAGACGGCCAGAATGTTTTTCCCAGACGATGCTGTTTAGTAATTTCTAAAATGCACATACGCGGTTTTGGCAGGGAACCGACAATATGACAACTGCATTTGTTAAATTTTACACAAACTACTTGTCACATTTGAAAACTGTCACTTATTTAATTTGACAGGTGTCATGTAGTCGCATTTGACAGTTGGCATTATAATTTAAAAATCTTTAGTTGTTCTGGTAAAAGGATCTATAAGGTAAAGCTGGAATTTCCAGTAACGACAGAGAGTAAAGATAGTGGAAAATGTATTTTTTGGATAATAAAAATTCAGTTCATAAGAAAACATTTATTAAATCAAGCTATATTATTTATATCGATTAAGATATTAATTGCGTTTGAAAATAACCTTAAGTCTATAAAAAAAAAAACGAAATCATCACAGCCACTTCAGTCGATACCTTTCCGCAATTTCTTCAACCAATTCACAAGCAATTCTGAAGAATTCAAATCGTTCACATAGGCAAACATATCCGATATAAAATCTTTCGACCATTTTTTCTCATTTTTCACCAACACGGACAAGAGCAACGCCCATCCGTCGGACAAGTTCGGATAACAAAAAACGGCCTTTTGCGCAGAAACCAGCGCGTTTTTTAAATCTCCCGCTAACATATACCCCAAAGCGATGTAACCCAACACTTTGGTAATGTCCATTTTGGCTTGACCAATCTTTAGAGCGATTTGAGCGCATTTTACAGCGGCCAAAGCGCGTTTTCTTTCACTTTTAACTCTTAAAACTGTCACGGCCAGAGTCAACCAAACGGACGCGTTATCGGGATGCCTGTGAACTAATTTTGACAGTTCTTTGACAGCCAAAGCTGGATTTTCCTGCCTTAAAAGCTTCGTGCATAATAATGTAGCGTAATGCGGTAAGCAATCCTGATTATCCTTCAACGGTTCCAGTTCCTTTAAAACGAGTTCACCCAATTCCAGATCCTTGTGGATCAGCGCGAGAGCTAGGGTCGCGTAGAGGCCCCAAGGGGAAGGAGGTTTCAACTGGATGCTCTGGAATAACAACGTTTTAGCTCCATCAACGCCTTGAAACATGTAAGCCATCGAAGCCAAGGCTACCAACAACTCTGATTGGTGCGTTTGCTCGTCGGTTAGCCAATGTAAAGCCTGTTCGTACGCCGAGTACGAATCTTCGTAGCTTTGGCTTTTGAACAGTGCTAAGGCTAGACCGCTGCCAGAGCTGAAGGTGGCCTCTTGGACCTCTTGGAAAACTTTAACGGCCGGTATATATTTCTCTTGCTTGTATAGAAGTCGTCCGTAGTTAATTCGAGCTAGATCTCGATGTTTTGAAGACAGTTTAAAGGAGTTGTTGAAGGCTTCTAAGCTGCCTGAAATTGAAAAAAAAAATGATAATGATCCAGATTTGCTTACAGAGAATTACGACGTTAATTTTGAGAACAATCTGGCTTTCTTGAAGGCCCGTGAGCAAGAGATGTTTAAGACTGAGCATATCAAAGACTGAACTCACACCAATTAAAAATTATTCACGACTAAAAGGCCAGGGATCAAAATATATGACAAAAGGAAGCAACATTTGGGTACTCAAGGAGATATGTATTGGAAAAATAAAACAAAGGTATCTAGCAGATAATTTTTAGAGTTATATCTGTGATCAGCCACTGAAAAAAGGATTTGGCTTCATAAAGGAATCCAATGCACTTTATCAAATGTAATCATAGAGAAAAAAATAATTATTTACCTTTATTTAGCTTCATTCTTTCTTTGAGAATTCCTAGCATATTCCAGGCACATCCATTGTCTTCTTCTTTTTCTGTGTACCACGTTAAAGCATCGCAAGCTACAGGTATGGCATGCATTCCTTCTATAGAGTAACTTATAGTTTTTTTAGGTGCTTCTAGTAATGTCTGACAGACCCAATGCCCGTATCCTATCGCTCCCTGCTGGTGATGACCCAATTGGACACTAAAAATGGCGAAATCAAATATTGCTAATCTTATAATGTTAATTTGTAGCAGTCTATTGATAAATATATAATTTTTGATTATGTACCTATGCCTAAACAAATCCATTGCTTCTTCTACGCCCATAGTTTCTGCTATCAACGCCTGTCCTATCCAATTATTGACGTAATTAGGATCCGACCTTTGACCTTGAGCGAAAGCCTTATTGGCCAACTTGATATCGCCCATGAGAAGGTACAAAATTCCCAAATTACACCATGATATCGGATTATTGTTCTCCACGGTAACGGCCTTAATGAAGTAGTGCTGCGCTAGCGCCAAGTTACGTTCATCTTGAGACATTACGATGTTGCCGAGCAAATTCCAGTGTTGCCAGTTCTTCGGGTTTGAAGCGGAGCAATGTTTGGCTGCAGCAGTCGCATACGCAAACAGCATGCTTCTTTTTTCTTTGTCTTCGGTGTGTAGGGCATGCTTCAAGTAGCAGTTAGATAAGTCATGCCATATTAAAACATTATCCTCAGTAAGACCGATGGCTTTACAGTAGGAACTGGTAGCCAAAGCGAATAAATCCTCTCTTTCTATGATCCTTTTGCCTTCCATTAGAGTGTCTGTGACGAAAAGGCAGCAATATTTTTCAGGTAAGTTGGTAACAAATAGGCAAGCATCGCCGATGAGTTTCCAAAGGCAAGAAAAATTGTTTCTTTCTTTTACTGCTAATGTTAAATGTTTTAAGGCGGATTGAGCATGATCTCTAGCTGTGCCAAGTCTTTGATCTCGGTAGCATTCCCATGCTTGACAGATGCAAGTTTCTGATAAACCTTTTAGAGCAGGAAGATATTGCTCGTTGTTTAGAAGAATTTCCTTAAATTCTTCATTTGCTTCGTTGTAAATGCCTAAGGTTTTTTTAATATTAGCCTTTTGTAATGAAGGATACAATGTATTTTCAGTAAATTCCAATGATTTCTCATAGCATTTCAAAGCTGATGTATAAGAGCCTCGTGCAAAGTAAGCGTCTGCCAAGCATTGCCAATAGTAAGTATTCTCTTTGTCTATTCTAACGACAAATTGCAATTTTTCTATCGCTTTGGAGTAATCTTCTTGCTCCAAATATGTCAAACCTAATTGAGACCAAGCCCAGCAATTTTTTTCGTTGATAGGGCCTTCTATTAGGCTGAGTAATAAATTTTGAGCTCCTTCCCAGTTTTTCAATTTACAGTAGATGTTGCATAGTTCAGTAGCTACTTGTGGTGAAGACTTGTTTAGATTAAATGATTTTTCGTAACAACGTCTGGTTTTATCAGAGTCGCCGATTTTTTTATAATAGTTTCCTAGGTAAAAGAAACACAAATGATTGTTTGGGTCGTATTTGGCAGCTTTTAGCCATGGTATTAAGGCATTTTTATAATCCTCTAAGTACCAGTAGGTTAGCCCTATTTCAAGCATCCACTCAGAGTTTTCTTGTGGATTCTTTTCTAATAACTTCAAACATTCTTTATATTTATTTTGTTTTTGCAATAATTTTGCTTCTAGAAATGTAGATTTCAACTTGTCTACATTCTTTAAATCTGATATTAATAATTTCGCTTCATCAAACTTTTTTAAATTGATGTAAATTAAAATGATGTGCTCTGTATGGAGATCTCTTACTTTTTTATCTTCAATTTTTGAATACATATTGATGGCTTTGTTCAAATCTTCTTCATTTGGAGATTTCGATAATATTTGCAAATTAAGATTGTCTAATACTTTTTGTAAAATTAAATTTGTATATTTGCCAGAATTAAGAAGTTTGTTGGCATTCGAAAAACTCTGTAAAGCATCTTCATATTGATTTAATTTTAAATAAACTTTTGTTAAAAATACCCAGGCATGTACTAAACCTGGCCTTAATGTAGTCACTTCTTCTAGAATATCTCTACTTTCCACAAATTTATTATTTAAAAATAATCGAATGCTTTTTGTAAATAAACCCATTAAATTTTTAGGTTCTAAATCTAATAACTTTGTTAAATATTCATCAATTTTATCATTAAATTTCTCTATCAAATTTGATTCTTCCACAAAAGTCTGATTATAAATCTTACAAATCCATATCAACGAGACTGTATTACTTTCGAATAACTTACCCATTTTTTCTGCAGTTTCAAATACCTCTAAATATTTATTTTGCTGATATAACGCATTCAGGTATGACGAAAAGTATTCCACTTTCATGTGTTCCCTTAAACTTAATAGTTTGCACAAACATTCCTCGAATATCGGTTGCAATTCATTGGGAATTTGTTTTACAGTTTCGTAAAGTTTTGCCAACGTTTCGAAAATTTCCACAGCGCTATTTTCCGCTTTACTAGCAGAATTGAAAATGGTTGTTGTAATTTTTGTGATATCGCCCCTTTCGTGAAGTTTGCTCAGCTTCTCAGAATACTCAGTAATTTTTTTAGGATTGGTTTCAACCTCTAAAGCAGAAATATACAATTCTACTAACTTATCGTTAGCTTCTTCAGTCTGTATTTTTTCGTAGTAATTTACCAGACCGTTCCAAGCCAATGGATTTTTGGGATTAAGCTCGGCAGCCTTTTGGAAAGCCTTAGAAGCCTGTTGGACCGGTCCTAATTCTTGTAAACATAGACCTAAGAACACCAATGCCATATAATTGTACTTATCTTCTTTTAAAACCGATTGGACGTATTTCATTGCCCGTTCGTAGTCTTTATTTTTTATAGCCTCTCGGGCTTCTTTTAATAATAACTTGGCTTTTTCCATTTTCTAATATTTTTGCAGAGCGGTGCATATGATTTATTGTAAACATAACCTAAAATGTACCGAAAATGTTGAATGGCTTTTACGAGGGTAGGATGAAAATTGCGTTCTGTACGCTTTTTCATACAAATACTGGAATTTGTAATTTTATGAATTTCTCGTATTATTCATGTATATTTTCCTTATTTACATCTTTAATTCTACAATATGGATCCATTTTAGTAATTTATACATACTGTCAACTATTTAATTTTAAGTGACCAACCAGCCACTATAACCAATCAATTCCTATATTGTTCCTATCAGGCCTGAAGATGGCCCTGTGAGGCCGAAACTAGTCGCTCCTGTACTTATTTATAATAAAATTGATGTGGTATTGATTTTGAGGTTTTATTCTTTAATTGAATAAATTAGACCTTTACAGTGATTTTGTTTTATTTTCTGCATCAGACATATATAAGACGGAATCAATTTTAAAAACAGTAAAATTAGCGAATTTTTTAGGTTCTTTGTTACAATTAAAAAGTTCGGACAATGTGTCTAGTAGTAATTGCTCAGGTCAAATCACCAGGCCCACAGAGTGGTCATATCATAACATATCATTACCCACGTGCAGCCATTTTATTTGGAATATCTAATTGCTGCCAGTGGGAAGGGCTCGTAAATCCAAGAGGATTGAGACATGGTCTCCATCCTGAAAGCTATTTATATTCGAAATAGTAGCCGCCAAGCCTGCCAAATTTATGAAATATGTATAAACGGTTTTTATAAAATAATATTTTTATTGTGTTCGACATAAAATATTTAAATTTAATTCATTATTCATGATTTCGTTTGTTGTAGATAAAATACATATAGTATATCGCAACCCCTTAGATATACCATTTTCTCACCGACAGTTATTTTGTTTAGAATGCCTAATACGGCAAAATGTCGTCATTTTAAGGTCATGTGACATAAGTGACCAAATATTGACGTGCAATTCATGTCAGCTTTGCATGGTAGGCGACGTTATACTAACATTTGTTTGCTTTATTAATATACGTCCGAAAACAATTTGTTTTCGATAATAGACTACTTGTTCCGTGGGCACAACTGTGGAAAGTTTGGATTCACGTTAATATGGTATCAAGAAAATTCCCCGACTGGAACATTCCCCGATAAACAATTCCCCGACTGGAAAATTCCCCGACAATACATTAAATTTTACCACAAAAAAAATTCCCTTGGAAAATGCTAAAATCTATCATATCAAATGTAATAAAATTTTAAGATTTTAGATTGTCAAATATTGAAGAATTGAATATATAGAAATAGTACCACAAATTAAATTTTTAGAAACTACTACTATTTTTTTATATAGACAATAAATTATATAAAATTATTCGAATAGGACATTAATGATCATTGTTAAAAGAATATTAATATAGCAAAATTGTTGACTACCTTACAAATCCTTCGAATGGGACATTAATGGTCATTGCTAAAAGGATAATAATCGATCAAATCTATTGACCGTACCCGTTTATAATAATTTAATTTTAATAAACAAGGTCTTTTATAAACACTTAACTAAATGTAGGTTGTTGAAATTGTTGACTGTTTAAATTCTAAACGGTATAAAAGGATGCACATTTCTTTAAATTTTTTATATCTAAAAACTTGTGTAACTGTTAACATTGTGAAATGGCTTCTGAATTTGTTCTTAGTGAAAAAATAAAGAAAAAATTATTGCTTGATGGATATATCAAAAAGACAGAGGAGGCGAAAAAACTTTTTGGAAATGTGACTATTATGGTAAAATAAAGTGCAATGCTCGAGTTACAACGCTTGGAAATACAGTTCTTAAAAAAACTGTTGAGCATAACCACACTGGCGATGTCAGAGAAGTGTTATCTCTACTGAATGTATTGGTCTTAGCCAGCCCACTGCAGCCATTTTACCGAAAGTTTCTACCACAAAACGAACAATAAATAACGTTCGTAGAAAAGCAGAAACTGCTCCAGCTTTGCCACTTCATCGACAAGATATCGAATTTCCCGTAGAATATACAATCACCCAAAATGGAAAATCCTTTTTGCTTTACGATTCTGGACCAAATGACGACAGAAAACTGATTTTTAGTACGATAAAATATATTTCACTCTTAGCTCAAAGCAAACATTGGTACGCTGATGGAACATTTAAAACAGTACCACCCTTGTTTTATCAATTGTTTACGCTACATGGCTTAAAAGAACATATTTCAGTTCCATTAGTGTATGTGCTATTACCAGATAAAACAAAAAAATCATATATTTGCTTACTGCAAAAGTTAAAAGAATTTATGCCTAGTGTGTCACCAAGTACCATCCTCACAGATTTCGAAACTGGTATAATTAATGCTTTTACCGAAGAATTTCCAGCTTCAAAACATCGTGGATGCTTTTTCCATTTCTTCCAGTGCATCTTTAGAAAGATCCAAGCAGAAGGACTAAGAAAGCAGTACGAAACCGAAGCAGAATTTGCAATAAAACTTAGATTATTGCAAGCGTTGACATTTGTGCCAACAATAAATGTAATCGATGCCTTCGAAGCCCTTTGTGAGGAGAATATGCTACCCGAGGATGCCCAGTCAATTGTTGACTACTTCGAGGACACCTGGATTGAACGCTCGCAAAGAGGCCAACGTCGTCTCGCACCAAAATTTCCCCTTGATATGTGGAATTGCTAACAGACTGTGATAGAAGGACTGCCAAAAACAAATAATTCCATTGAAGGATGGCATCGAGCTTTCGAGGCTTAAGTTTCTGCAGACCATCCCAATATATGGAAATTCGTAAAAGCTTTGCAGCGGGAGCAAAGCGTACATGAGATTCAGATAGAACGATACGCAGGAGGCCTAGAAGGCCCGCCTCAACGTAAAAAGTACTGTGATTGTGCTGAACGAATGCCAGCTCTTATAAGTAAGTATACGTGGTATAGCCCATAACCTTCATTACTGAAAAAGGATTCATGGATAACGACTTTTTTGTATATACATTTGATATGATAGATAGAATATATATATTTTTTAAATAATATAGTTGTCGGGGAATTTTCCAGTCGAGGAATTGTTTGTCGGGGAGTTGTTGGTCGGGGAATTTTCCCGTCGGGGAATGTTCCAATCGAGGAATTTTCCAATCGGGGAATTGTTGTTGGGCAATTGTTGTCGGGGAATTGTTGTTGGGCAATTGTTGTCGGGGAATTTGCCTAGACCCCGCTAATATGTCCAAAAGATACCGCCCTGGATAAAAAAATTGTACACCATTCATCTCGGAAACGAAGCGTGTTTGTATATATGTTTATTAGGCAAAAAATATTTATTTTGATGAGCCTGTGTATAGCCAGAGTAGAAACTAGTAATATATGGCTAGTTTCACACGCTGTGGAACAGAAAGATGGGGGTTCTGTTGTTTTAAAAATTTTAAACTATCTGTAATCGTCTCCCATCTTTTATTAAACTGTAATGCACCAAAAGATGAAAAAAAATTACGAAACATATCGTCGCCCTCATCACGAAGTGGTATAAGCGACAAATAATAAATTTTACAGTAATAAAACGAAAATACGCAATCCTCATACCGTTATGCGTCATTGCAGATAGGACACAGAAATAATATGCTATATTGCATGCACTATTAAGTTTTGTAGATGTGCCACTTCGTGAGATGATAAAGGAGGTCAATACTAGTTAATCCGCACAAAAAACATTTTTTTAATTTTTGTTGGTTAGGTCATTTCGTGATAAGGGCGACGATATGTAGTGCTTGTGCTTAAATTATAAAAAATAAAACGACCGAATAAACCAAGGAAATTTTTATTTACATATTTATATGTGCCGCGTTTGAATATCCACATCCGATGCATTTTTTACATCTCGAACGTCTGCGTTTGTTTATCCGAGATGTACCTGTCCAGATTACATTTTTTACATCTCGATTTGAAATGAGAACTGAATGAGAAGTTCGTTCCATTCCAGAAAGTAAGTGTTTTGTGAGGCCAAGTTTGTCAATTTAGCCTTTGTTTATGCTAACATGAATATAAAAGTGATTAGTTTGTTTAATTTAGGTTGATATCTAGTCTCAAAACTCAAATTTAAAAAGTATAAACTTCTAACTTGTCATTGTCATTTTATCACGTGACCAATAAAGTCTAGAGCGTTTGTTTATTACATCTATATTTAAATCTAATCGTCTATCACGATAAAAAATTCACAACATCTCAGATGCATCCGATGTGGATATTCAAACGCGGCAATGCTTATCCCTAATAGTCCTACAGATGAAATTATCACCCTCTCCTCGTAATAACGATATTTAGTGACCGAAAATACTTTAGGCAACCAGTAAAACGCTTTCGCGTACATCGTGTTGCATATTAAACAATGAATGTTTATGAAATAAACAATACAATTATTAATTCAAATAGTGCTGGCGCGGCACGGTGAAATGGAATCGATCAACGTTCCACGTTTCCAACCAAATTTTTAAAGTTGCGATGTGAGCGCACACAGGTAACGTTACTGCCTGTCCAAGAACATGAACGCGTAATTCGTTTAATCTTTTCTACATCTCCTTATCTACTTATCTAATGAAAGTGTATTGTTTCGTACATTATCTATATCTAATAAATTCAGAAATCATTTCTAAAAGTGAGTTGTAAATCGCGTTGTAAGGTACATTTGGAACTGTAAAGAAAGTAAAAGTGAGAACTGGAAACCTGTTTAATAACAGAATTTAATAAAACGCGTTTTAAAAATGAATCTCTCTTGTGGATCGAGGACTATCAAATATTTAATTTTCAGTTTTAATTTCTTTTTTGTGGTAAGTATCGATTAAATTAAGTTTAATGTCAACTATTTGTGCAATGCAAATTAGTTTAAATCTGTTATGTAAACAATTATTGTAACCTTGTTAAAATGTATATGTCTGGGTTTATTGAAAAATACTTTTGAATATAGTTCGCCATGCGTAACCTTTTAAAAATGGAAAACACTTATATCTTTTTTAGAATGTAATTAACTTGGATGATTAAAATAATCTATATGGTTTTAATGTTTCTAAACAATTTTGTTTCGTGAGCGATACCGAATATTATTATTCGCATATTGTGGAGAGCTTGCGTGTTCTAGAATATTTTATTGTAGGTACCTACAGCGTATTTACCTTCTTAAAATTGAATAATTTATTAGCGTGTAGTAAATTATAAAAGCCTCTCAATGAAAAACAAAAAAAAAAATAGATGGACACGGTTACAGATATGTACATAAAGCTGGGTCCACATCAATAAATTTTTACGTTGGGTGTTGTATTTAATACAAATTTGTTCGTGTTAAAATTTATGTAGATCTGTACTAAAAAGACGCACACAAATATTTGCGGCAGATACAACGCACGCTATTTGTGTGGAACGCTTGTGTGAATGTGGATCTCTGAATTTTCAAATATCATAATCTGAAGAATAAATATGAATAAGCTAATATATTCGTCATTTCATAACAATAAGAAAAAAATATTAAAAGAAGTCGTTTATTGGACAACACGACAGATAATGATGACCAAAATCTACTAAAAACTTTAATAGTTATGAAGACAAAATTTCCTTTTGGATGTCACAAGTTTGTTTGTGAAAAACTCAATAGGTTGGCTGTAGTGAAAATGGATTCACAACATACAAAACAAAACCCAAATTTTTTTCACGAAAAACAAAATTTTCGCTGTAAATATTTTTGTTGAATTCAAAATACAACGCACAAAACATATTGATGTGGACGCGCTTGAACATGTAATTGCAGAATTCTTAAAAAAAGGACATACCTATACAGTGAAGACGTAAATTGTGTCCTCTGGGGGTAGAATTCTCGAGTCTCGCATGAAAATTGTCGCATACCAAATTCGTATGGTTGTTAAAAATACATATTTAGGGGTGCGTTTAAACCTATGACGCAGGGGTTTTAGAAAACTGAAATTTTCAGTGAATGTAGTCGTGAAGTACCTGATTAAATCCCACTTAGTCAGAATGTGGCACAAAACGCCGTTTCCTCATAAAAAATAATAATCTTTTAGGGGTGCTTTTTAACCTATGACGCCGGGTTTTAGAATACCGCTATTTTTAGAAAAAGTAGTCGTCAAGTAGCAGATTAAATCCCAAATAACCAGAATATGGCACAATGCATAATTTTCACGTAAAAAATAATACATATTTAGGGGTGCTTTTAAACCTACGACGCCAGGGTTTTAGAAAACTGAAATTTTCAGTGCATGTAGTCGTGAAGTACCTGATTAAATCCCACTTAGTCAGAATGTGGTACAAATCGCCGTTTCCTCATAAAAAAATAATAATCTTTTAGGGGTGCTTTTTAACCTATGACGCAGGGGTTTTAGAAAATTAACATTTGGTGGCTGTTGAAAATCAAAACATTATTAAAGAGTGACAGCATAGAAGGAAGAAGTTTATTTATAAAAATCCATTTGGAATTAACTATGTGTTATAACGCTTACTACCCCTGGGGTTTTCTAAAACCCCGACGTCATAGGTTTAAACGCACCCCTAAATATGTATTTTTAACAACCATACGAATTTGGTATGCGACATACGCCGTGTGCGACAATTTTCATGCGAGACTCGAGAATTCTACCCCTGGACTTATAAATGACAGAAGATAGATACACGAAACAAAAAACGAGGTGAAATTAGAAAGATATCTTATTTTGTTATAACGAGTTGCACTTTACTTGAAACGTAAGATAGAGTACGTTACTATATCTTTAAATTTTCTAATGGAAAGTAGGCTCATGTGAAACCTCATTTGAAAGATAATTTCATTACCTTTACGTCCATGCAAACAGTTTTAGTTTTTTTTATGTTTTATTTGGTTAAAAAAAGATAGTAACGCCCTCTATCTAATGTCTCGAGTAAAGCACATCTCATTATACCAAAAATATCATAATATCTCATAATTTCACCTCGTTTTCGTTTTACGTCTCTATGTTTTCCATTTAGAAATTAAGAGGAAGGGCACAATTTATAAGTCCTCACTCTATATTTTGCGAAAGGGCGTATACTGGTCATAACTCATAGCAGAGTACAGGCGGGTTATTTTCGATTTTACCCATATTTCTCAGATCATGTCATACCTAATTAACTCATAATAACTCAAGTAACATCAGAGTTTTCATCTAAATTGAACTTTTTTAAGATATAATTGACCCTCATAGAAAATATTCAAAATTATTAAAGGATTAATTAATATTCCTATAAGATGGCGCTTCTCTGCATTATACTCTGCTTGCCCATCAGTATCACTGGATTGGGAGGAGAGATTCCGTAGAATGGCTCCCACGATCACCAGATCTTAATCCATTAGGCTTTTTTGTGGGGATCAGTTGAAAAGTAAAATGTATTCCACCCTTCTTGCTTAACTGAAAGGTTAACGTCAATACTTTAGCATTTAGAACATATTTATTATAAGAGAGTGTAAAAAATACAAATTAACCCTGCTCAAAGGTTGGCGTGACCATTTTGCTCATAGGAAAAATGTTTCCTTCCAATCTACGCAATATTATTGTCTAAAAACCCCATGGCTAGTTTTCGGTGGAACGCCCTGTATGAATATGAAGATAAAAATTAGAAAAAAAATCCGGTTTAATGTTATTTCTTATTTTAGTAAAAACTAGTATCTTAAAGTTGTATGGCTCCGCCTATTACATTTTCATTCTCACCAACTCAGCCGATGTGTTAAGTTAATCAGTTGGTGTGACCAACAAATATATTTCAAAAAAAAACTATTTCACCACTATGGCACTAGTGATGCACCAATATGCACCACTAATTATTTTTTTTTGCACCACTTTCCTTGAGAAACTACATCCATATCTTTGTGGGGGGGGCTGGGGATAAATGAACGCTGCACCCCCATTTGCACCCCCTCCATTCAGAAGTTACAACGATTTCCTTATTGTGAATTTACCCCCCCCCCCCCAAAGAAGTTTTAGCAAAAAACTATTGCACCGGTATGCACTCCTGATGAACTCATATGCACCACCAATAAAACGGTTTTCACCCCTCCCTTTAGTAGTTACAGCAATTTATTTACCGTGAAATTAGACCTCCCTATGATATTTTCGCAAAAAAAATATTGCATCGGTATGTACTGCTGATGCACTTATATTCTTGCAAAGGTTTTCGGGTTTTTCATCTATTTACCTTAGAATCTAGAAAGTACCCAAAACCCTTCAAATGCGTCAAAATTGGAACATATTTACGAAAAGTGTAATCGATAGAAATTCCCAAAAATGTGCTCATTTTGGCTGACATGTTTATTTGTTGTAAAAATGGCTATTTGGATTGATATTTGCCCCCCCCCCCCTTCACAAACAGATGGCTGTAATTTGTCAAGGAAGGTGTGCAAAAAAAATAATTAGTGGTGCATATTGGTGCATTACTAGTGCATTGTGGTGCAATAGTTTTTTTTTAAATATAATTGGGGGCAACTTCACGGACCTCGACAAATCGCTTTGTAAGGTGGGCTTTACCTCATTGTGTATGAATACGAAGACAGTGCCCTAGTTACCTTATAAGATTCAATAATTAAACTATAATAATCTGATTGGCACCTAAACCAGAACTTAGAACCAGGCGTGTATATTTCAGAAATCTAGTATTAAGTAACCATAGTCATACATCTAAAAGTAGACAGGATATGCAAAAAATGTTTTGGAGTCAGTTATGAATGTTATCCAAATAAATTAGATAAAAATAAAGGGTACTGGACTGATCACTGTGTCACACCAGATATTACAAGAAAAATTCGTAAAATTCGACGTAATCATGATAGATTACTACTTTTATTGTAACCGGTTGATAAGATATTCATGAAAAAAAAATTCTAGGAAGAGTATTAAACGTAGTATGAAGGCTTTTGAATCTATTTATAGTCCAATATAAATACAACAGAAATAGCAAGTGATAGAAGAAAAATAGAATTTTTTTAACTTTAAGCTATGAACATTATTATAGTTTATATCTATTGCTTTTTATTAGAATCTATATTTCGTCTAATTAAAAACCAATTTAATATAGGAATACCTAATAGCAAGACAAATATTCGACCTTGACATCGCGAAGGTGACCAGGGCCGCCGAGAGAGCCATATGAGGCCCCAGGACATTTTTATAAAAAATCAAGTCCTGTCTATGTTACATTTCTAGTAAAAAAAAGGTTCACATGCAAAAAATCAGATAGTTATGGAGAAATATCGATACGTTATACTTTTATAATCAGGATATCTATAAATAATATGGAAACTCCGTTATACGAGTTTTATGGAATGGATAAATAAACTATTGGGAGAAACCCAAGTAGCTTTTCAATGAAAAATTTATAATTTTCATATCAAAATAAGTATAAATTGATTATTTGCTGCAAGAACGTCATAACACAAAAATGTTATTTTTACAGGAGTATATTGCCTAATAAAATATGATAATGTGACCTAATTGAGTAACGTATTATAGAAAAAATATAGTCACAATACCAATTAAATAACTGTTTTAGATATCTGAGAGAATAAAATCTAACGACAGTTATAGAAAGTTCAGATACGACACTATACTTGATAATAGGGATTTTCTTTACGATCTTTAATGTGCCAATAACTCAAACATTATAATTTTTGAGTTATGACGTTCTTGCACCAAATGAGCAAAATATGAAATATGAAAGAAAATCAATAAATTCATTCGTTTGAAATAACTAAACCACTTAACGATTGGTATTCCCTGTTAATTTATTAAGAATTAAAACTAAACAAAGATGATTTATA